AAATGAGTATATCGGTGAAATTGTTTGCACTCCCGCAGATGGTTTCGAAATTGATTTGGCTTTCCATAGTTTAACGGTCCAGTCCACAGAAGAGGTTAGGAATAGGTCGGAGAAATCAATAGGTCCTGCAAGAGGATGAAAGTGGAGTCCTGTGACGGGACCCCAGTGTCCTTTGTAAAAGTCGTACGGATTAATTCCTGCTTTACTAAAAATTAAATTTTGCAAAGATGTTGATTGAGTTATCGAGCAATTATTTAATAAAGAAAGAAAAAATTCGAGACTATGTAGTACCCTCCGGCGTGGCCGAATCTATTGGCTTGATATACATTCCCTTCTTCTGTTCCCACCCAGAAAGCGGAAGATTCATTTTCAGGGAAGCAAAATGATGTAACGGAAACCTCTTCTGTTTTATTGTGCTCGGAATGTACCAATTCCAAAGTTTCCTAAACACAAAATTCAAACGTTAGTATCTCTAAATCGAAAAACTACAAATTATCTTTCAAGATCAAACCATACCGTTGGCTGCAATAACATATCCAACTGCCAGGAACACACCAATCCGTCAGTACTTGCAGTAATAAGATTGTGGGCATTTTGGGTTCCAACCATTTGCATCGAGTACACAGGGTGAGTGTGACCGTTAGAAGATAATGGAGTTTTGAGAACAGGTAGACATTTCGCTCTCGTATCCCAAAGTAGAATTTGACCAGAATAGGTTCCACCAATAACATAATTCGGGTGGAAATCAGAAAACATAGTTGTAAGAACGTCTGACTACAAGTCAACAGTATGTTAGAATGTTGTTCATTGGCATCACATGTAATGGAGGAACTCGAAATACAAGAGCTTGCCTGAGAGTGGAAAATGAATTCGGGACGTTCAACAAGCCTTAAATTCCATACTAAAACGATACCATCTGGATCATTCATGTTAAAGGGATTTTTGTTATATGATGCAACGCTTAATTCGGGATTCTATAATTAGAAATTTAACGCGTATTGACTAACAAATTTTACAAACGAAATGATTAAAGGACACAAGGATAACGCACCCTACTCGACCAGTTCACATCAGTGACAAAGCGATTTTTGCTCCATCGCTCATCAAAATGCGAACACAAAAATTTAACACATGGACCTATGGGAGTGTCACTATTA